ATATACACAGAACTTGAAAATTTTGCCTCTCATCTGGCAGGTTTGTCCGCTATTTAAATATATTATTTGTCCACTAACCTATATATCCAGTTATATAATATTTAATTATTTATTTTAGGCTGGATATTATTACACATCAAATTAAACTTATTAATAGTAATCAGTAACATTTTCTTTTCAAGTTTCGATAAAAATATTTATTTGTTTGAAAGTAATCGCTCAAATTCTTATTTTATTATTATTTTGAGAGACATAAAACCAAAAACAACTATATTTATAGCTATAAAGCATAGTTACCTCCGAATTAAATCATTGAATGTAGCATATAAAAATTTGAGATATTATGAATTATTTTCTAACAAAGTAATCATACATTTCATCCTGAATTTAAATGGAAGTGAAGAATTTCTCCAAAAGTCAATTTAAATAACTGCTAATAGTTGAAGCATTAGCAAAGCTGAACTAAACTAATTATTATAACTGCACTAGACTGCACATTTTAGAAACTCCATTATTTTTGAAGATTCACCATTATTTTAGAAATACGCTTATACATGAATATGTTCTGTGAAAATATTTAGTTCATTTTTACTTAAACTGTGTTTTTGAAGGTATGAGTATGAAACGAAAGTCTAAGCTATATATTTATCTATGAGCTTTATATAAAATACATAATTACAATATGTTCCATCTTTTTAGTTCAACACTTAGTAACGTGTTATCTTAGGAATCGTGTTGTTTGCAAAGGAAGGAGAGCAGCAAATTGTATTTCAAAAACAAATTTATACATATTTTCATTTTTCTTTGCAGCTCCATCAAGTTCACCTCAAGCTGTAAAAGCTGTGGCAATTTCATCAAAGTCAATAAATGTCACTTGGCAGGTAAGAGGTTGATATATTCAATTGCTTAACTATAATATCTGTAGTTTTTTGAAAAAAATGGACTTAAATCTTTTTAATATATGGTTGCACAGATGAATCTATTTATCTATAGATCTAGTTATCTCTCTTTCTCTCTACAGCAGAGAGATACTAGGAATGTAAAAATGAATTTCTGCCGGTTGATTACTGCATTTAATGAATCGGCAGGTTTTCGTAAAAGTAAAATGAGATAAAAACTCAAAATAGAGAGTATAGTAGAGAAATATAGAGAGTATATAATAGTAGAGACATATTGTTCATCAGAATAAATTTAATTAAAATTAAATTGAATGTAAGTAGTACAAATTTAAGTATAAATACTTCTTTGCGAAATGCTGCAAGAAATGAAATTTAAATTTAAAATTTAACAAAACACGTAAAATTATAAAGCAAATTCAAAGCCCAAAATTTAAAAAAAAGCAAATTTAAAGTAAAATAATTTTTAAAAACTATTTTTAAAAATGTGAAAACATATAAAAACGATTTAGTCGCTAACGAATTAAAATAATTTAAAATCAGAAGAAGAAGCCTAAACAAAATCAAGTGCCAAAACCATCCTGATAAATAAATCGGCTAATTTAGCCAAATTAAATTAATCCAAAAACAATTTTTTAAAAATGCATAAATTAAGTGATTTATAAGAATAAATTAATTAAATAAATTTAATTTAAATACAAATGTGTAGAAATATGTAGTAATAAATTCGAGTACGTGTCTAAAACTTCCAAATTAGAATATAACTAAACAGATATTAGAAGTTTGAAAAAGGTATTTTGCAGGCAATCTGTATAAATTACAAAGGCTGGAAATACTTTAAAGAAGTGAATGGAAAGCAATAAAATAAGGGGTATATAGCGAATTAAAATTACAAGAAAAACATAATTGGCTTTAAGTTATGAAAATGCTAAAGCTCTTAGAACATGTTTTAGACGATATTTATTCTATTTACGGAAATATTTTACCTAACATTTTTCTGTTTTAAATATTCCATTGATAAATCGTAAATTTCACTATCGTTCTAAGCCGTATTTTTCAAGACAAAAATGCCTTTGTTAGTTTGAGTTATTTTATCCCATATTATTCCATATATAATATCCCATTCCATATTGAATAGCTTTCCAGAGTCCAAGGAAAGTTGTAGGTCGATGTATGGACAATTCGCTTTTTAAAAGACTAAAAGCGGAAACATGAGGAGATTTAGTAGGGATATGAGGGAGGAATATGGCCTTGATGCCAGTTCTTGTTCCGTTTTTCCCATGAAAATGACAGCAGATTTTGAAGTGCGGTTGCTCGCTTTGTCTTGATGCAATTCTACTGATAGATGGTACTGTGGAGAAAAAAAAGGTATTTCAAATTTGGAAACTGGTAATAAAATATATTCCTGATAATATGTGTAGTTACTTAACATTTTTTTTCACTCACTTTAATTTTTTTTGCCGTTATATTAAAAACCAGCAACAAGCATAAATCCCTTTGAAAAACTTACTTAGATTCTTCGAAACATGTTCTAAAATTTCTGTTCTCTTCGATGGTAATAAATGAATTTCTTTTTGTTGCGATCATTCAAATATACCCAAAAATCCATCTACTGTGACAACATTTTTCCATTTTTTGTCCGAATAACTGTTTCTCGTGGAGAATTCTGCAGCGCTTCCTGCTTTCGGCGATATGTCGTGGAGAAAGACGACGCACATTACGATTTTCGCCTTTTTAAGATTAAAATCAGCATTAATCACCTTGTTCAGAGTTCATACTGAGCATTTTAATGATTATGCAACTGTCCTTTGATTTCGCGGATTTTCTTTTAACGTTAAATTTGTTACCTTTGCAACATTCATTTTTTCCTTGGATATGTATTTTGAACGCTGTTTCTCTTTGAAGCCAAACTTCGGCCTTATTTTTTTCCTTTCTTATTGATAATATTACCTATTGCTGCTTTAGATACCGAACAATCATGGACTTCAGAGTATTTTTTAATAACTAGATACAAATAATTTTCTTCGGAAAGAGGACGAGCATAGCCTTCCGTCCAATGTTTTTTAAAAGCGCTATTTTGCATGCAAATAAAATTGTGAAGTAGCAGATGGTTATTTACATTTTTAAAAAAATTGATGCTGCTAAAAAAATGTTTACTAAGCAGGGTATTTTTTATAGCAAAGCAAAGTCTTCTAAACAATGTTGCGAACAGCCTCTGTTAATCTTAAATAATGCTAGAGTATTAAGAAAATTAAATTACTCTTTTATAGAAAATATCAGCATCCTTGGTGTTTATAATAATAAAAAAATAGAAAAGTATGAAAAGAATAGCAGAGAATAATTGTACATCTAATGTATGTCATCAGTGGGGAACTTAGACGCGGAAACCATACGGCTTCTATAATAAATCTAAGATTGTACAATATAATTTATTCAGTAGATAAGTAGAAAGTTTAATTAAATTTTCTAAATATAATCAACTTAATTAACATACACTTTTTTTGCAAAAACATCGAAGCACCGAGAAAGACTTTCGCGATCGTGGCGGAATTTGGTATGCAAAAACATCTTGATCGAACATGCAAATGATTAAAGTTTCAAAGTAAATGAACAGTAATTGCGATCATAGCGCGAATTTCTAGGGCCACCATTCGCCAAGTATAAACCATAACAGGGGCGGAAAATTTCTCTTTTTTGTCCTGCATTGTATTCTAAAGAAGCACTCGAATGCATTACGATATAGAGAGACCTTACAAAAAACTAAGTGACTTGACGGGTCTCATTGTAGGGTGCGTGAGCTGGGTGTCATACCGAGCAACGGACGCCCCTGCATAGGCAGATACTGCTGTGGCAAAGATTTTGCAGCAACGTTTGCGACAAGAAATGGCCGACGAACAAGGCTCTGGAGGCCAGATAACAAATGCTAGGCAATATAGGATGATTGTTCACCAACCCCACCCCCACGGATCATTTCATTGCACTACGCCAGCCATCTTACCTCCCGTAGTAGGTAGGAGGTAGGTAACGGGGATTCGGGCACTTTCCCTTTACCATAATGTTATCGGTAGGGCCCGGGCCCACCACGGTCTAAGCCAATGTGTAGGAGCCCTTGCTCCCACACCAAGCCGAGCCCAACGCTCGGACCATCCAAGGGCAGTCAAACTGCAAAAGCGCCCGCCACACAACGCTCCCAACCGTCAGCATTAGTACATATGATAGCAAAACTGCAATTCTGACATATATACAACTTGCAAGTGGTACTTAATGAATGCAATTATCAATATAAGCATAATACAAGTCCATTAACAATATCATGTAAGGAGATATATTACAAATGCAAATTTCGTGAACATAAGTGCAATATATAAGTTAGGGACTACTGCTTCAAATATTAGTACATATGATAATTACTGAATTCTCTGACAATATAATACAATGATCATTGTACAGATGAATTGTAAGATAAATAACGTAAATCAATACAAGTACAATATAATCAAACACGATACAAGGAGAAAAACAACAAATGTAATATTTCATAACATCATGCAAAACATACTATTTAGGACTATGCTATCAGCAACTAATGTTAAGAGTATAATATACAATGTTAGATAAGAAATATACTACAAAGAAAGTCATATCTTACAACAGAATGTATTGCAATTAAATCCACAGTTTAAAATATAATTATAATATAACTCACAAAAATCGAACATAACCAATACAAAAGCAAATGTTATTCTTAAAATATCTAGCAATGCAATTCAAACGTCAGTAGATATATACTCATTATAATGCTAACAGTTAAGACTCGAGAAAACACCAATACTATCGATAAGATCTATACCTACGATTCAAAAACTAAATAATCCAGATATTATAAAATAAATGCTATATCAAATGGTACTCTAACCCCGATAGATAAAATATATATATTTATATATTTATGAAACATTCTTATGAACAAATTCACGAGACAAAAGACAATCAAGCCAAAGTTGATATTGAAATATCGAATTAACACTAACTGTATGCGTACAATATAATAAAATTGTAAATTATGTTACAAGCACAAGTCAGTACATAGATGAAGTATTTCATAATTTGATCAGTTTTTTACTAGTATTTTTGTTTAATTAAAAACTTACAAATGCACGAGTGTTAGTATTTGGTATGGGAATATGATAATCTTGTGTAATAGGACACTGAGTCACATAATGTTCAGGATTTCCAGTTCACCACATACACACATATCAGTATTTGAAATCCCATGTCGATAATAGTAAACTGGATAGGGTCCATGCCCTGTAATATAACGTATCAAATGATGATTGGTAACTTGTCTATTATCAACATATGAAATATGAAAATAAGTACGACGACCTGTGTCGGAGTCATCCCAGTTTGTTTGCCACGCAGAAAAAGTCTTGAGTTAAATTTCCTTTTTAAAATACGAAATTGGCCGTTTACCATTAGGTTTTCAATTTCCCAATATGATCAATACTTTTTTGGGCAGCTTTTTTGCAAAGAAGTCTGCTTGATATTGCCAATGTTATCTGCATGACCTTTTGTCCAGGGCCATCGGTATTTTAGAATTTCCGGACATGTGCAATTCCTGCTGAATGGCAGAGATAATAGGCGAAGAATGCCTTGGATTTTAATTGCAAAGAGAATGAAGGCTATCCGTTATTATATACCTTCCATCTCGCCGGTTTGCTTAAGATATTGAACAGCTTTAAGAATAGCCATCGCTTCTTCTGCTTGAAAAACGCTTTTCAGCGTAAGATGTCCTAACCATTTAAATATTGGTCTTCATTGTGATAAGCCACAAGGGCACAACCAGTTTGTTGCTCAATTTTCGAACCATCAGTGAATATCTGTAAGTGAGGTAGTTGTGGCAAATTGTCACATTTCAAAAGACATTGAGTCCATATCCTTGTTGAGCAGGATGATTATCCAAATGCTGTGTTTTCTTTTCATAG